TATCCATGAAGTCCATGGACACGTTATGACCACGATTTTCAGGTATCGGCAAGGGCTTGATAAGCCCAAGCGGAGCCTGAGTCCTAGGTTTGCCCCGTTGGCAAACCTGGCAGGTTTCAACGTACCTTTTTGCATCTTGCATCACAGAAGGCCACCAGAATCTCTGCACTAGGTTAGCTGATGTCTTTTTATAACCGAAGTGCCCAGTTGCATCATGACACTCACCTAAAAACCTGATGTCTTTTTATAACCGAAGTGCCCAGTTGCATCATGACACTCACCTAAAAACAAACTATGCAAAGACTCCCTATCTGGAACACGCAATCTCTTATTCCCAGCCTTTTCAAGGAACATGAAGCCATTGACCATCGTAAATTCGTCGGAAGTTACCTTATCTTTCGCTTCTGGAACACGTGGTTTTTGACGTAATTGGGTCTTCCCGATAGGCTTCCACCAAAGATAAGAGTTACATCCTCAGATATTCCAAACTCAGTCGCTAGCGCACGCAGATACTCTGCCCTACGTGATAGTGCATCAGCCACTTTGTTATACTCTCCCTTTATCAGGTCAAGTTGATAGTCATACATGTCTATCACTTGGATCCACCTTTTGAGTGCATCTGAGAGTACAAGCTGAGTCTTGATCCAACGCAGAGTCTCATGGTCAGATCTTAAATAGAAGAATTTGCCTAGGAGATAATGTCTCAAGTCGACCAGCACTCTATAGAGGGCATAGAGCTCATGCTCATATGTGGAGTTTGCTAACTTCTTAGATGGTATCTTCTTGCTTATGTGCTCGATGGGCCTCAACATTTTCCCCTCCTTCTGCGCAAGGACCACGCCTATGCCCTATTGGCTGGCGTTTGTGGTCACTACAAAGGGCTGCTCGGGATCCGGAAGTTTGGGACTTCATAGTGTGCCAGGGCATACTTCAATTTCCTGAAGCTTGCTTCACACTCTTCGGTCCACTCCCAAGGGGCGTCAAGGCGGGTTAGGCCGGTTAATGAGGAAGCTATAGTACTGTAGTTTTTGACAAACGGACAATAGTACCCGTCATCCCCAAAAATGATCGGACCTCAGTAACAGTCTAAGGTCTAGGCCAATCACGTATGTTGGCCACTTTGACATCATATGGCCTCGAACCCATCTGCAGAAATCTCATGACCCGGGTACAAGATCCTGGTGCGACCGAACTCACATTTCTCCAAGTTGACCTTTTACTGGTGCTGCCTTAGGAGACCTAGCAATGTTTTCACGTGCTCAGCGTGCTCCTCTACAGTCTTACTAAAGATAAGGATATCGTCGAGGTAGACGACAATAGACTTATCTAAGTAATCATGAAAGATCCGATTCATTGTGTTGGAATGTCCTAGGTGCATTGCATAGACCAAAGGGCATCACCACAAACTTGAACGGACCGTACGTGGTCTGGAATGCGGTTTTGTGCTGATCCTCAGGTTTAATGGCAATTTGATGGTATCCGGACTTCATATCTATCTTTGTAAAGTACCGACATCCCTGCACTCTATCCAAGAGGTCGTCGATGCGAGGTAAGGCTCCGCGTTCTTAACGGTGATGGCATTGAGGCCCTTATAGTCAACGCACATCCTTAGGGTACCTCCCTTCTTAGGAACGAATAGGACCGGAGCACCATAAGGGGAGGTACTAGGCCGAATCCATCCCTTCTCTGTGAGCTCTTTGAGCTGGCGGTGGAGCTCATCCAACTCCGCATGAGACATCCTACAGATCTGTCCTCTAGGTACTATCGGGGATGACTTCTATCGCATGGACAACCTCCCTTTCCATCACACCACTCGGAACCTAAAAAAGGTTTGAATACTGAGCAACGACTGCTTCTATCTTTGGGGGTGATTTTACAGCCTCCCCTTTCTCAGAGACAAAGTCTAGGTACATGTCCTCCTCGCGATTTTGTTTATAATAGTTATAGAAAGAAGATGCACACATGGAGCCATAGTTCTCCACTCAACTGCTAGCTTTGAACGTTTGCAGTCTAATGGTTCTTCCATTAGGCAATTTGTGGATCATCACCTTCCTGTCCCAATCGAATTGAGGTTGAGCAACCTCGAGGTAGTACATGCCTAGTAGCATATCGAATGGCAGTTCGTAGTTGACAAGGGACGAGATCTTGTGTCTGTGTTCCCCTCCTCCACAGGAGACGGTGAAGACTACGTCCTTGACATAGTCTTGAACAACCGTACTATGCTTGTTGGGTAGCGTAGATGCTCAAGATCTGCTCAGCCGCTGCAGTGGGTCCCCTGAACGCAGTCTATCCACACAAGCACAACTGATGAAGTTTCGTGTGGAGCCTACTTTGAGGTCACCTACATCAACCTCTACCACGAAATGTTCACCCCTAGGACCTTTGCTAATCATCGCCCATGAGTCTCTGGGGTCCTTCCCTAACCACTCAGTTTGTAACTCTTCTAAGGACTTAGACACATCTCTCAAACAAAACATCTGTGGGGCCATAAATGGGTCACTAGCCTTGGCCAACGCCTGA